GAATTGTCATGACTTTTGGCATGTACAAGACTCCACAATCGAGTCAAGATTTGTCTTATGGGGATAAGAATAAATGCAAATCCAAGTAGCATGAGAAGGGTGTTCAACCCTTTTCTGTTATAAAACTTGTGCCAAAAATTAAGAACCAACTTCTATGCATATCCATATCTAAGTACCCAAGCATAGAATCCCTTTCCAAAAGGGATATAATACTTAAAGGCAGAATATAACAATGAAAATAGTTAAGAAAGTAAAAGAAGTTTCGTTAATTATGTAATTTAGTATTGCTTAATGAACACATTTACGGGGGGAAAACAACATAGATAAAGATGAACTTTTACTGATAATTAGCAACACAATTTATAAACCACAAAGTAGATCTAGTTACATAGCTGTAAAACTGATCCCTTAGTTTCAGATTACAAATTCAAAATATATAAATATTGCTATGTCAAAATAAACGTAGAAAAAAAAAACCCTAAGCGAAAAATAAAGGGGGGATGCTATTTATATCCGTCATTGTTATATACCCATCACATTCTGTATCTATACATATTAAAATTTTAAAATTACTGTTTTCATCTATATTACATTCCAATATTATCACAATTTTTATACATTTATCTCATCATTTTTATACATTCAACAATGCAAACAAGATAAATCAAGAATGCGAATTAACTAAACTATTTGACTTTTGAATTAAAAAAATTCAAAAAAGGGTTTCAACTTCATCCCAACAAAAGAAATATCTAGCATATCATGCTTCTAATGATATTACAAGATGAATAATGAAAAAGCCATCACCCAGAATAAATGATTACAATACGTGGAAGCAATTTCTTGTTCTTGATTTTCAATCCGAAATCTTAATTTCTCACGTTATGCCTTCAAATCATTAATAGATTTGTTCTTCTCCTTCAATTATGGAGAGTTTGCCTCTCATAATTGAAAGATTTCTAAGTTGTGATGTCCTATGAGATGCGCATGAGAGGTCTCTTTCAATGTTTGCCCATGTTATCTACTTAAAGGGTTTGAAATTAGGTCAAGAATCACATATAAAGTTGTATCCAAGAAAAAAGAGTTGAATCAAAATAGGAAACAAAATAATTTTTTTCTCGTATAACCATGCTATCGAATAGTACAGATCATTGTGATACCATGGTTATGACTTATGAGTAAAAATGTTATGAAAACTTACTCCTTGCTATCACAAGATTTATACTCATGTTGTCGCATGGTTATAATTGATTTCATTTCCAATATTTATTCAAACTGGTCCCTAAACTTTTCAATTGTTAAATTTAACTCCCAAAACTTGTGAATTTCCTCTAATTGCTCCAATAATATTTTCAATTCATCAATTGCAATCCGGTTGATCTTCAATCTTCATTCCTTGGTGCAAATCAATTCTTGGATTATTACCTAGCAAACAATATATACAAGAGTTTAAGCCATAATTTATCAAACGTACTCCTAAATGTTTATTTTGAAGCTTTTGTCTATATATGTGATTTCATTTTTTTATTTTTTTTATGACAGGGGAACCCGCAGCTGCTACCCTTTGGGTGCGCACTGGGTAAACCTTCGGGTTGACGTAATAGCCTGCAAACCATGCCAACCAGGTAAATCACACTAGGCAAGTCCGATGCAACATGCTCGACCGAGAAAGTATTGGTATGGGGAATCGAACTCGTAACGAAAGGCCTCCACACTTACCTACATGTGATTTCATTTTTTATTCATACTAGAGGTGGACATAATAAAAAACTATGAAAATCTGCAGTAGAGTTTCCCAACATTTTAAAAGTGTGAAGCCGACATACTTTTAATCTTAGCACATACATCAAAGATTTTTAATAAATGTGGGTCGAAAGTACCTCTAATAATTTTATCCAAAAAAATAAACTGTTACTTAAAAGTCAAACATTTTACCTTAACTAGACCAATCTAATACAGGGTAAAGTGGTCTGTTCATTTTCAATTAATTAAAACAATATAAAAAACTTGAAACAAGAAAGGGGGGGGGGGGGAAGTAAAATAAAGATAAAAATAAAAGCATCCATCTTCCCTGTTGCATCCAACTCAACCCTAAAAACCTGTCCCAACCCTCACACAACCATAGAAATCGCCTTCGAAATTGCATTTCTGCCTTTGTTGATTGCCACCACTGACTATCCTTGGCCCCCTTATCACCACATTGTCAACAAAAACACAAACCAGGCACCACCACCACTCCTCCACAAGCAACACATTCTTAGATCTACATTTACCATCCTCAAATCCCAATTCCATTGATCTAGCCATTCTCAAATCTCAACTCCACCATATCACCATTCTCATAAGCCAACACTGCCACACCACCAACACATCTTCCACTTCTGACATCTACCATCTATACCCCAAACTTTGTGGCTAAAAGCTCTAACTAATCGACGTATTTAGTTATTTAGACCTAACATGCAAAAATTACCAATTAACAAGCAACAAGTCATTTTTAATTGTTTCGAGACGATTAACAAAACAAGTCCAATTATCCTATGTTGAATTGTCGTAGTTTCAAATATGAAAGAAGTAAAGAACACAATAATTGTTAACGAAGAAAATCCAACTGGGTAAAAACTCTGGGACCAAGATAGTAACCTCCACTTTAGACAATGATGAACTTACAATACGATCCAATCTAGAAATTTCCACTAGGTTTGCTGATCTATATTCTGCAATCTCCAAGACCCGTTGAATAGTGCTTCACCATAAACCAGTTAGTAATGTTATTTAGCACTACTGGTATTATAACACCTATCTAGACGATCTTAATTGGTGTTAAATGAGAGGCACTATTAAATGAATCGCATAATTCTATCTTTAGTTAAGTCTATCACATTATGACAATTAGATTCGTGCTCTAACATCATTGGAGCTAAATAACATTTTTCTAAACTACTACACCTACCCGAAACTCACACAGTTACCGAAACTGCTACCAACTCAGAGATTTCTCCCCTTGCCACCCCAATCACCCTCGACGCCACTACCAACTCGTCGACAAAAATAAAATTCAACCATCATTTCCAATAATACCTACTACCGGCCAGCACCACTACCACTCTTCTACAAGCAACATCTTCATCCATTGTCACCTCTACCATCTATACCCTAAACTTAATGGCCTACCCCATCACAAACATGTGATGGCACTGCCACTGCCACCCCATAACCATCCTCCTTGAAAACATGCCAAAAATCGCAGACACTAAAATAGATACAAAGCTAAATCCAAATATTTTTCTCAAATCCTAAAGATCTAGTTTGTACATTTTCAATTCAATTGAGATTTGAATTTATAAGATTTACAATTTTATAAAAAGTTTTTCTGGCAAAATGTTAAAAAATCTAGTTTCATGACGAAAACAAGATTGGTGGAAGATCTGGTTTATCAACTCGAATGACGTTAGCAGCTACGGATGCACTTGATTTAGTGTGGGTAAGATGTTAGTGAAGGTGGGGGTAAGGATGTGGATTAGGATGGGGGACAAGTTTTGTTGCAATTTTGATGGTACTCAAGTAGTAGCGGCTCCAAGATGAATATTGAGCACGGGAGATGAGAGAAGTCATTGAGTGCTCGCCCGATATGAGGAAAAAAAATTGGTGGATTCAACACAGGTGGTAGTTGGTGCTCGCCAGTGCTAGATTCACCAGTGGTATTTGCTCGAATTTTTTGTTAATGTTTTCTAATTTATTAAATTTTTAAAATAACTTATAGCGTAATAAATTAAGGTTAGACATGTTAAATTAAGGTTGGACATTTAATTTTTGGTCAATTGAAAATGTTTTTGGATGGAAATCGTTAGAGTGGTATCTGGCCTAGACTATGCATTTTTAAAATTTTTTGTATCTCTACTACAAATTTTTCCAAAAATTAATACACCCGAAGGATGAAATTTTGGGAGCTATACTGCGATATTAGTACTGATTTATTCGTAACAACAAATTATTATTGATATTTTACATTTAATTTACCACTTGATAAACATTTAACATTTTCCCGCTATATATAATCTATAATAAATTAAATATCACATCAAGTGAGAATCAATTTTTGGGTGATTCTAACCCTACTATAATTCAATTATTTCATTATTGCCCTACTTTTCGTTTTTCATTATGTATTTAATCTAGCTAATCATTCAATTTCTATTAATGTACATGTACATTTAACATTTTCATTTCACCTTGTGTGCACTTACTAATATGCGAATTCCCGATTATTTTTTCTCAATTAATCAACATTCATATTCATTTGATTAATTTTCATCTTTATTTATGCATTTTAGTGTTATTAATTATAATTATAAGTTAATTAGAATTTTACATTCTTTTCATTATTCACGTCTATGTTTGCTAATAAAGATCCAGATTTATTTAATTGGAAATTAAATAAATGATTTAACATTCATTGTCACGTATATATTCCGTAGTATTAATTCTAAATTAATTAATATTCACGCATATTCAAATATTATTTTTAAATCATTTATAAAGCATTTCATAACGACGTTCAACATTGACAAGTTACATTTTAATTCACAAAACATTGCATGTGACATTGTAATGATGATATGGTATTTTTTTCCTTTTTTTTATGTAATTTGTCCAAATTTGCCTAATTCATATTAAAAGCGTAAAAAGAGTCAAATCTTTTATACCACTACCCAGATAACATCAAGTTGTTCAAGTTCACAGTTAAAATGTGCAACCAATACAAGCATAACCCTAACAGTGTGTACTTAACCACGGTGAAAAAATCTCATTATAATCAAAACTTTCATTCTGTGTGTAACCCTTAGCCACTAACCTAACTTTAAACATTAAGGGTTCAGAAACATTGGTACCTTCTTTAACTTTAAAGACCCCATTGCAATCGACAGTAGATTTATTCTTAAACCTAGGTACTAGCTCCCAAGTTTGATTCTTCTCTAAGGAACTCATCTCTTCTCTCATTACCACTCTTCAAATTGTTCGCTCTTCATCGCTTCCTCAAAAGTTTTTGACTTTCTATCAACTAGCTCTTCATAACTAGCGTGAGCAAAAGCTAGCTCATATTCATATTTGAATCTCCTAGGCTCCCTCATTTGTCTTCTCTCTCTATCCCTAACTAAATTGTATTCTGCTAAGGGATTTTCTTCCTTAGGATGTTCCTCTATCACTGCTTCATCTCTATTCTCTACCTCAGGTTCCTAAACCCGAGTCTCCACTTCATTTGGAGTGGCAAGAACAGATGTGCTAAGTTTTCTTAACTCCACCTTAAACCCATCTCTCTCTTCGCCTTGTTCTGTTTCGCTCACAGGCTCGAGTTCACCCATAAGACATGGCATTTTACCTAAACATGACATCTCTACTCAAAATGATTTTAACCCCTTTTTGGATTCTATCTCATAACCTATTACCCTTAACACCCTCAAGATACCCTAGAAAAACACACTTTCTAGCTCTAGGTTCAAGCTTTCCCTCACTTTAATGAGAAAAAGCAGCACTACTAAAGATTCTAAGTACAGAATAATCACCTAGTTTACCAAACCACTTTCATGAGGAATATCACCATTCGAAATAGCAGATGGAGTCAAATTAATCAAATAACAGGCAGTCATAATAGCTTCTCTCCAAAACAACTTTGGAACACCAGGACTTAACATCATGCAACACACTTTATCAAGTATTGCTCTATTTATCCTTTCCGCTTTGCTGGGGAGTGTAAGGGATACTCTTATGCCTTGTTATTCCATTTTCTTTGCACATTATTAAATTCAGTGTTACAAAACTCTAGGCCATTATCTGTTCTCAAGAACTTAATCCTTTTGTCAGTTTGGTTTTCTACTTATCTTTTCCAATTGTTAAAGTTGTGAAAAGTGTTAGATGTATCTGTTAAAAGATAAATCCACACTTTTCTCGTGTAATCATTAATAATAGACAAGAAACACATATTTCCACATGAGGTGGGATTACTAGCAGGACCCAATATATCTGAATGTGCATATTCAAGTATGCCTTTAGCTTTATGAACATTTGTGGAAAAAGAAGTTCTATGGTGCTTACAAAGCACATAGTGATCAAAAAATGACAAATCAAACACACAGTTGTTAACAAATGCACCGTTTTCATTAAGAAACTTGAGTCCCTTAATGCCTACATGTGCAAGCCTATTATGTCATTTATGTCTGTGAACAATCTTGGTAAAAGAGATAGAGGAGTTTAAACCTCTAATCACTTCTCCAGTAATTATATATATAGTGTTATAATGGAGAATATGTGATTCAAAATAAGAAAAAATTTGAATTTATGTGTAACATTATTTTTGTTGAAAAATGTGTTGTTGAAATGAGGTCAAATCACGGTTAAATGATGTATTTTGATGAAAAAAATAGGGCTCAATCAAGGGCTTAAAATAATAATAAAAATGAGTAACCTTTTTTTACACTTAGACTCGTAAAACTTAAATCTTGACCTCCACGTCTAACCACACTTTACGTTTTTTTAAAACACAATATTTTATTTACCATGTGATAAGCATTGTAATTTTTTCCCTCTACATATGATTAAATTTTAATTCACATTGCACGTGATATTATAATGATGTTGTGACTTTTTTTCTCAAAAAAAAAAAAAGTTTAAAATTGATTGGATGAAATTTGTCCAAATTTCTACTCAATTCATATCAAAAAGCATAAAATAAAAGACTGACTAGTCTCAATTAATTGCCTAATTCTTGTTATGAAACTCAATTTCATTTTTTTCTTCCCCATAAGTTTAAATAATTAAATTTATTTTCTCGATTAAGATTAAACATTTACAATTTCTTAGAAGTGAGAAATAACAAACTTGAATTGAAAACAACTAATAGAGTAATTTATTTATTTATATTCAAATTTGAACCGTGAAGAAAGAGAATAATTTAAATTTTATTGTCAAGGCTAAGTAATACTAAAAAACTTAGTACAATCTCAAGTGAGCACGTTAAAGGAGCTAAAATGGTTTTATAAGACCCTCAACCCACCCCTCTCCAAACGCCACTGAAAGAAGGGATCATCTTCATTCAAACATCTTCATTGATACGCCGGAACTTTGTAAAATCACTTCATATACATACGCTATTAACAACCAAAGCTCATATACTATAGCTTCTCAATCTATATAGAAGATAAGTTTCATTGTCTATGAAAGTGAACATTGTCATTTTCTCTTGGCAAGAACATCGTACATTAAGAACCTCATCTTTAATATGTTATCCAAGTGTATCTCTCACCAAAAAAAAAAAAAAAAGGATAAGAATCTAAACGAAAACATTGATGCAAACATGTAGTTAAAGAAATTATCTCCTATTCAAATTTATGAATGATTTATAAAATCAATCACTCAAACATTAATTTTGAACACACATTCATACTACTAACATTATTATCCATAAATTTCGTGGGATCCACTATTATTGCTCTTTATAAATCATTTATAAATTTGCCAAGCGGATGTTAATATAAATGTTGATTTCATTCAAAACTCATACCAGTTTTTCTAAAGTTGAACTGAATCTTTACTCTTCCCACTTGTTTGGACCTTATTTTTCATAAAACTCGTTTTTAACTACACATTTCATGAGATTGAAAACTTTTCAATTTTACAATTCACCAATTATATCAAAATCTACTAAAATTCTAATTTATATCTAAATCAAATAGGACCATCAATTTTCTCCTTTTTAATTAGCAACCGCCTTTTCTTTTGTCTTTAAAGAATATTTCAATTGCAATTCTTGAAAAATGTGTCCCATCTCCATTAGAAAAATAAGCCCATGTTTGAGAAACATTTTTTGGGAAAATGTGTTTTAGAATAGTATTTTTAGAAAATCTGTGAGAATTTATGTATAAAATCATTTTGCGAGGGAATGTGGTTTAAAAAAAAAAAAGACTCAAACATGGGCTAAGTTGACTCAGAATCAACAATTGAGTTTACTAGCCACCTTTCGCTACTGCAAACTAGTAAATTTTATTCCTGTGCATATTGATATCTTATTTCAATATTTTGTTCAACCAAAGTCTTAAATTTTGCAATTTAGGTCATTCAATTTTCAAAATTTATATCTTGTCCCTGAATTCCACATTTCTTTGTACAACTTCCATCATTTTTTATCAATTATCATTCATTTTCATCCGTTCTCGTCCAATAGAGAAATTTCTATTAAAATAATTAAGAAACACAAAAAGTTAAGTATATCATCCATAAAACTACTCAGAAATATCAATTGTGATGGCCAAGATGAGTGATTACACTTATCAAACACCTACAATCTTAATCATATGTTGTAATCAATACAGCACTATAAAAGCTCAAAAAATAGAAATTAACTAAAAGAGAGTTTTAGACTTGTCAAATAAATATCAAATGATGAAGTTGGCCTTGAAAATCGTAGAATTTTTTCATTTTCCTTTCTGCTCTTTAAATGGTCTCTCGTCTAGGAGTCAATTTTTCTTAAAATTAAGATTATAATCAACATTAAAAATAATTAATAAGAAATCACAATGAAGATCTCAACTAGATCAAAATTCAAATACATTGACTACTTATTCCATCTATCTCAATTCAATTTTAGAAAGTATAGAAGAGTTTGAAGAAAAAAATCATGATTATAAGCAATAATATTTTTGAGTGAAACTTGAACTCTTCGTTATTTTACGACCTTTAATATATTGATGATGAAATAGTTTTAATCATATCAATGTAAATTGATTTTTTAAATGTTATGTCAATAATTTGTTGTCTTCGTGGCTACCTCAGGAGGATAAAAAAAAAAAAAAAAAAAAAAAATTCAGCAGCTTCATTGAACGAAGTTCAGATTGTACTTGTGGCGATCATTTTTGTTCTATTTTCGGCATAAAATTGATTTTAGCTTCATATAGTTATTGAATTAGATACTTGATTAACAAAGATGTTTATGATATATAATTAGACGTGTAGATCTAAGAAGAGAGGCCTAGACATATGAGAGTTCAACTAGAAAGGTAATATTGAAAAAAGTACAGAATAGTTGATACTAGTGTTAAGGTATAAAAATTTCACGTCAATTAAATAATGAAATATAAGGATACAAGATATTTCTCTTCACAAAATTTATCTCTTAAGATGAAATTTTAAGTCTGAATATAATATCAGAGTCCAATAAGTTTAAATAACCAGTTCGATCCCATTAAGATTCAAAATAAGCACACAAATAGCATTCTCAAACAAGTCATCATCAGGAGCATGTTAGTGTAAATCCCACATTAAATTACAATGAATCAACATGCAATGTATTATTGAAGATAATATTTAAATGATATATGTGGCATTATCTAACAGCTTTTAAAGTGGTCCAACATTAAGTTTATGATGCAGGAAGTATGAGACTTGTCAACATGTAAGTGTCGATGTAAATAGGTTAGTTAGTCAAATGTGGAATTTGAAAGAAACTCCGTGTAAAATAAGGTAGAATTTTATGTCCACTTGACAAAGGCATTCCGTAGAATTTTCAAGACTTTTGGTGTGTTAAAGACTTCACAATCAAGTCAAGATTCGTCTTTTGGGCCTAACAAAAATGCATATCCGAGTAGCATGAGAAGAGTATTCATCCAAAAGAAATTTTGAATTTAATATTTCTTAACGAACACAATTAGAGAAAAAAAAAACAAACAGAGAATGATGAACTTTCATTGATAATTAACAATACAATTAATAGAACCACAAAATAGATCTAGTTACATAGCTGAAAAACTGATCCCTAAGTTTCAAGATTACAAATACAAAATTTTATAAATATTGCTATATGAAAATAAATGTAGAAGAAACTTAAGCCAAAAATAATTATTCGATTTCATGGATTTGATTGTTTTTCTCATTTCAATTGCTCTGACTTTTTCTTTTAATTTTATATTAATAACATATCAAAATGTTGTATTGATACTCAAAGAGGTTCACCATCTATTAAAGCTTATGTCTATATCAGTAATCTCATTTTTATTGATGTTAGATGCAGGGACGGATCCAGAATTGGATTCAAGACTAGGCCGACAAATTTCAAACCAAGTTAATATGCGGAAAAAAAGTTACACATAAAAAACTGGTTTTTTTTATTAAAAAAAAAAAAACTTAAAAAAACTTCTTGGGCTGCTAGGCCCAGTCCCCCCCCCCCCCCCCAAAACCGGCCCCCGCCCCCCCCCCCCCCCCAGCAAAAAAAAATCCGCCCCTGGTTAAAAAATTAATACACCCAAAAGATGAAATGCAAGCCATTTTCTACCAATTGAGCGATCATAGAAGCATTGCAATTTACTTTGTCTTTCTGATAGTATCATGTGGCATGATTTTTTCAAAATGTAAATATGACCCATTTTATACTATCGAGTGAATAATTGAAAATAAATTATTGTTGATATAATTTACCACATGATGAGCATTGTAATAATTTTCTTCTACACATAACATTTTTAATTCATAGTGCCTTGATATCTTGATGATGATGTGATATATTTTATCCAAAAATACGTTTTAAAGAAATTGGATGACATTGGTACAAATTTTCCATATATATAGTTCATACAAAACGCACAGAATAAAGATTGAATAGTCTCAAGTCGCCTAATTCTTGTTAGGAAACACAATTTTTCACTAAATTTTATTATTAATCAAATTTATTTTCTCAATAAAGCTTAAAATTTTCTTGAACTGAAATAGCAAACTTGAACAAAAACAAACTAATAGAGTAATTTAGATTTTATTGTCAATGCTGAGCAATGCTTAAATTTTATCTATAGTTGTAATACATAGATTGAGTTAAATTCATTGCATTTAATTTCAACTCCTTTTACATGAAAACAAACTCATCTGACAAATTTGAATCGAACCTCCACAATTATATCGTTTGCATCCTCTCTACCCTTTTACTTATTGATGTTTCGTTTATATTTATTGTTTTATTGATCTACTTGCTTTTATTTACTTACGATTATTAATTGATTGACGTGTTCTTGACATGCTTGATTTAAGATTATTTCTCGACAAAGTATTTTTGAAGAATGCGTCGTTGAAAAAGATGTAAAAGTTTTCGACTTACGTGTAATATTATTTTATAGAAGATTGTGTGATTGAAAAGAAAATAGAGAAAAATAAATTTTTGGGATAATGAGGGCCACACCAAAATTTTTGCTGAATTAAATGCCATTAATTAGGGAGAGAATAATGCAAATAGGAAACAAAAAAAAATTCAAATTACAAGAAAGTAATGACCTCCCAAATCTGGATATCTATAAAAGGGAGACAGTTGTTGCACCAGTTGGCTGCGGAAGCTCTGATACACTTGTTGATTCCAAACCGGAGAATAAAAAATGAGATTTAATAACAATATTGAAGTAAACAAGATCACACCATGAAAACAAGATTTAAAGTAAAGAATAACAAAAAGGATTAATTGCAGAATAACGATGTTTATTACTAAACAATATGGAGAAAACAAGTACAACTCAGCAAAATTGCTTTTCACAAAACTAACACAAGAGCCTCATATTTATAGGGAAAAATCCATTCCTAAAAATAGAGTTGTAGATGAAATAAAATATCTAAAAGTTTCCTTATTTAAACTCTTCAAGTCCAATTCCCAATGGGCTTCAAAATAGAAATTTAAATAGGATTTGACAGTTAAACTTGAATAGGATTACTCAAAGCATTCCAACTAAAATTCTTCTTGATGTGCACTTTAATTAGAATTGTACAATTATTTCAACAAAAGAATTTGGGTCACCCCAAAATTATAACAATCTCCACCCTGACACGAATTCTGGTGCAACCGAACGGAACTCTTAGATTTCAAACCCGTCTATATCGAAATGAACTGGCCAATCTCCTCTACGCAGTATATAAACCAAACAATCGTCCTCTGCTTGGCGTCTACAAGCGACACCCGAACCCAATCCTAGGGTTCCCAAAATTCCTCCTCGAAATTAGTATTAATTACATAGGGTCGAAGTACACCCTATAGCAAGAACTAAACCAGATGCTTGATTAGAAGGCCTCTTGTTGGAACTGTTTCCTTCAACATACCTAGAAACATCCCAGACATTACTGACACCACAGTATCTACTCTCGATAAGTCCACCCCTAGCAACTTAGTACAGTGTACTCGTTGAAATTGGTGGCAAAACGGAATCACCAATGCTCTCCCTAGCAGTGTTCTGAACCGACTCAAAGCCCAACACAAGAGGAACTGTACCAAACTGAACTTCCACCACGGTATTAAACTTATCCAAATGTCTCCCCTTAACTGGTTTTGCACTCCCTTGTAAAATGTACAACTGAGATCTTCTCCGTCCCTCCAGTATAACCCAGACTCTCTTTCAAACCTTTAAGACTCCACATCTTCCAGAGAATTTATACCCTTTTACACTCAGGGCACTCAGCGAGATGAGATTCATCTTCAAATCTAGAACATGTCGAACCTGGCCAAGTATTCTAATCATCCCATCCTACAACCGTAATCTAACTCGATCGATTCCAGCAATACGGCAAGACTAGTTGTTTTATATTACAATTCCACCTTGCTGAATAGCCTCATATGTCTGAAATAAATTCCTATCGGAACACATATGGTACGAACATGCTGAATCAAGAATCCACTCCTCGCCAGGCCTAGATTCCACATCATATATCACGGTCAGCATCACATCTTCACCATCTAAAAAATTCTCAACTACATTGATTTCATCTGAAGTCAAAGGTTGCGCTCCATGATTTGCAATTAAATCATCTCTAGCCAGCAACATATCACAATCCTTTCGAATATGTCCATTCCGTTTACAGTAGTAACAATACACATTGCTAAAGTTGACTTTTGATCTGCCTCTCCGTCAACCACCTTGAGATACAAGAGCTTTCCCATCCCTTGATGTAGCTCCAATCAAATGCTTCATCTTCTCCTTTGAGTGCAAAGCATCATAGACATCGTCTATAGTCAAAATATCTCGACTATACAAGATGGTGTCCCGAAACGACGCATAAGAACCAGGCAGCGAACACAACAAAAACAAGGCAAGATCCTGTTCATCGTACTTAACCTCCAATGTTTTCAAAGCTGCAACTATTTCTTTAAACATGGTAATCTGATCTTCCAACGACCCTCTCTCCGTCATGCGATGGGAATATAGCTTCTACTTAAGAGCCAGTTTACTGGTAAGACTCTTAGACATGTATAACTGCTCTAGTCTCAACCACAAAGTAGCCTCCATCTTCTCCTTCAAGACATCCTGCAGAATATTGTTGGATAAATGAAGATGAATCAACGACACAGCCTTCCCTCCTTCCGTTGTTTCTCCTCCATTGTCCAATCAACTAGCATCTTCTCAAAACCCAGCAACGTATCGTCCAAATCTAATTGCACTAGAACAGCCCTCATCTTTTCTTACCACAAAGAAAACCTTGTATTGCGATCTAGTTGCAGAATATCATACTTCAACCCAACCATCCCAAAAAATCTCAACCAATCTACGAAAGGAACCAAGCTCTGATACCACTTGTTGGGTGCGGAAGCTCCGATACCACTTGTTGATCCCAAATCAGATTATAAAGAATGAGATTTAATGACAATATTGAAGTAAACAAGATCACACCATGAAAACAAGATTTAAAGTAAAGAAGAAGAAAAAGGATTAATCGCAGAGGAACGATATTTATTACTGAACAATATGGAGAAAACAAGTATAACCTATCAAAAGTGCTTCTCATAAAACTGATAGAGGAGCCTCATATTTATAAGGAAATATTCATCCCCAGAAGTAGAGCTGTAGATGAAATAAAATATCTAAAAGTTTTCTAATTTGAACTCTTCAAGTCCAACTCAAATTCCAACACGCAATGGGCTTTAAAATAGAATTTTAAATAGATTTTGACAATTAAACTTGAATATGATTCCTCAAAGCATTCCAACTAGAATTCCGCACTTCAATTAGAATTTTACAATTATTTCAACAAAAGAATTTTTGTCACCCCAAAATTCTAACAGCACCCGCAAAATGGAGAAGTAAGCCAATAGCTTAAGACCCTTCACTTGTCCTTTTCTGCCTACCTTTTGTATCCCAGAAAAATGGGAGAAAGAAAAAGCAGGCAAATAAAATTTTTCAATTATTTGTTTCAATTGAATTTCTATGGAAAAAAATAATAAAATAACCCCAAAGGATCTTACTAGATCGGAGAAAATCTTGTAAAATATCAACTACAATTTGAAGGCTGTAAACTGTAAATGAAGTATTCATTTGAATTTGGAGGTATTATGCATTGAAAAAAAGGCATTACTATCTTTTTGTGAGGTAATCCTAGAAATTCAGATTCTCCTGTTTTCATAGTCCTGTTTTCCTGGAAATGTTTCGGTGACTTCAATTGTGTGAGTTCAGATGCAGTAAAGGCCCCTCAAAAATCTTCCAGCAATAAAAATTTCCAATATTTTTTTGGCAACATGCCATCTGTAAGTGGATAAAACAAAAACTCGATTCAGAAACCTCTCAATGTAGAGAAATATAACTTAAGAATGAGCACGTGTGAAAGCAAATTTTATTTCAATTCTTATAACATACCTATTGAACAGCTTCCTCGGTGAAAGGGTGCCAATATTGCCTTGCAACATAGACATTTGTAGGAACTTCCTTCGTTTCCAGTGTCAAAATTTTAATGCATTTGCCTGCAATGAAGGAAAAAAAAGACTATAAATCCTGGAAGATAGCAACATGGTCATACATTTGTCCGATATCTCAGTACCTGTTTGTCCGATATTTACTTCAAAAAAATTTAGTGGCAATCTCAGTACCTGTTTGTCCGATATTTTACGCGAAGGTGAGCCACCTCCAATGGCAGCGTAGCCCTCCTCACTTTTGGGAACCCGGAGTACTGAAATAATCTGTCCAAAGGTTGTTGGAGGAATCGGAACAACCCGGGCAGACGTATAATATCTTGTGACAAAGGATTAAACAATGTCACCAATTTCCAAATGATCAAACCTAGTACATGAATTTCTTACATTCACATAAAACACACAGGATTAGCAGACAAATTCAACGGGAACGGCTGAATGTCACGAATGGTATCCGGCCCTTCAAGATTTAAAAGTTATGATGCGCCAACACAGACATGTGTATTTGACACGACATGCATAGGATACGTTGATGTGCGACTTTTCAAAAAAAATATTGACACGATGTGTCATCGATACATTAATTAAATTCTTTAAAATTCTTCCTTAATATAGTATAAATTTAGTTTTATATATTGAAATATTTTAAATATGAGTATCTTTTTATTATTTACTAATCACTTTGAATTAAAAATGCATAATATTCGCAATATAAAAGAAAAATGATCATAGAAGAGTGTCAGTATCCTACATATATTGGATATAGATACATTACCCTAGTTGAAGTGTTTGTGCAATAGAATTCAAAAGCAAAATTCCAATCTTCTCTTCTGTAACGTGTGAATCAAATTCAATGCTGATCCCTGGGTATATGCATGTGCCAACTGAGCAGTAAATTCTTTCCTCTGTGATGGACAACGGAGAGACAATCTTTCAGCAGCATTAATATTTTTATTATTTCAATTAGAATTTAAAGCCACAGAAGCTTTGGTTGTATTTCAGAAAGTCGATAGCAATCTAGCCTATGCGCAAAGTCTACAAATACAAAAATTACTAAAACTGAAATTTTCATATCTAAAAACGACACCAAATTACTTGAAACTGTAGTTATCTTCGCATCACTTTTTATTTTTTTATTTTTCATGGACAATAGAGCCTTTGAACTACATAACTTTGACAAATGAAGTAGAAAATGAAGCTAAAAACATATCCTATTGTAAGGTAAGGTTTTATCCAAAGTTCTCAATTAATAAAACAATTGTAGTAGTAATAGAATAGCTTGATAACGGCGAAGTTAAAAGCTATGCTTCTATACTTATATTGTTGGACTCGATGGTAGAGAACAAAGCTAAAATTAATCTATTCTATGGTCGATTTTTTATCCCTTGTTTCTTGTCGATAAGTACCCAGATAGAGGAAAATATTTATACTTAGGAAAATTGATTCCCTAGCTTCCCAATATTTAAAGCTGCTAAATATATTTTTATCTATCAAATGAGTTAATTGTTGTTGATTTTCCCTCAAGGCAAGGGATGTGCAAAATATCAATGAACTCTTGCAAAGTTGAGAGAATCGTCAAAGGACAAGAAGAAACTCATTATAGTCATAATACCAGCATTGAAAATGGTATGTGATAATGTACACGATAGACTTACCATTTATTGCTTATTCGGAAATGACAAGATGAAAATAATAGAGGCATAATAGAAATCTACGAGAGACTATCCAATAAGTGTTCAACTTATATTTTTTAGAACAAGCCGAATGTTTAACAACTATATCGTATTAATACCTGAAATAGGATAAGTCCAATTAGAACAGATTATGTATCAAATACAAAACTCTAAAGAGGTCCTTTGAGTTCCTTACAAACGTGTGACATCCAAATTGCAAAAATGTGAGGATCTGCATTTGGATAAGAAACTATTTTAATAAATCCGAGGTAACGAAACACTCGACAATACCTCACATTTCATCTGAAAAATAAAAGAAGAATAAATGAATAGAGAGCCTATTTTGAGAACCCCTTTTAAATAAATCAGAATATATAAAAATATCATCTCGAAATTTATGGGATCATTAGCCTTCTGATGACCTAATTAAGAGACACTGAAAATGATACACAAAGCAGAAAAATAATGAAACCGCAAAAACGTGACAGCAACCAAATTTTCATCTGAAAACAGCATAAGTTGTCCATATAATCCAGATGTTCCACCTCTCCAATTCAACATCTGCTATCAACTTTCCAAAATTGAAATTTCCAAACCAGTACAATCAAGAAACAGAGAGAAAAAAAAAAAAAAAAAAAAGTTCCACGATGTGTAAAAAAACTGTACATATTCAAGCTTTTTGCAAAAATATACTCCAGATACATAAATCCATGCGGAGGGATTCTTCTTCTTCTTCTCTCTCTCTCTACATAAACTAAACATTAATTGCTCAATAAATACCTGCAATCAACTTGATTTCATCTTAAAAACACTAGAAGTACAGCTAGACCTCATAACTATAAACTCTAATAGATTCCACCAATAACATTGCCTAAAAAATTACATGTAGTACACCTTAAATATTATAAATTAAATAGAGAGGGCAAAATCTGTTGGGAATTTACTTAAACATGCATAGCGAAAATAAAAATAATTTCAATCCCCACCAGGATTCATCTTTGTATTTTTATAGGAATTGTGATTAAAGTTATACATTTTCTTAGATCTGCAAATTCTTTTGCGTTATCATTGCTCCAGTAGCTTGGATCTATCTCCCATAGCTGTCCAATTGTCCAGCCTCCAATGAATTTCACACAGAGAACAAATTGCAGCTACCAGGACTTTTTCCTCTTGTGTTAGCAAGATTTATGAGAAATCTCTACGGATTGAAAACCCTACCCATATATTTATATAAGCCCAAACGGTCTTGATCTAGTCCGGTTCAATATTTAATTAATCCATCTAATTAGAATTAATAAATCCAATTAATTAACTTGGGCATATAAATAACCAACCCAATTAATTAATTTATCCAACGATTGTTAAATTAATTAATTGACAAATTACAAATTTTCAATTCTCTTTTGTGTGTGACTCATTAGGTTCCGGACCACGATGCCAACGACGTGAAATATTATCTTAATCTAATCAAAATTGATAAATTAAAACACCATTTTAATTTATCACCAATTCACACTCGCCATCACAAATTGACATCTGGTAATGTATCAGGGCAACACATGTGACGAAAAATATCGCGTGGTATGACAAAACCAAATATTTTCATTTACCATAAAACTATAATCCCTTCATCAATATGATCTGATCAATAACGAGATATGGAAGCGTGTCAATCTCGATTATCGATCATATCTTTCATTCTACTATTAAGTCGATATGAGTCGAAAACTTCTTTTCAACTTATGAGTATACATTGGCCAAGAATTTCGTTATCGACTTAATTGAATGAAATGCAGATCACAATCTCTTACTATCTAAGAGTGGCGAATCCTCTATT